TATATATATATATATATATATATATCAGAACATTTGAAATACGAAAATTATTGATATTGCTTTATTATGACAAAATTGTAAAAATGGTCCATGTGGTTGTCAAAATTATATAGTTTTGGTCCTGCCTCCCAACTGTCATGTCTGACTGATCCTGCCTCCCAACTGTCTTGCCTGGCTAATCCTTACTTGATAGATCTTGATGTTGACATTGGGATTAGTGAGGAATCTAGACTATAATTATTATAGTCACCAAAATTACGAAACTAGACTAAGACTTAATACTAAATGCGTCTAGGTCTTTTCAAAGTACAAAGCGAAGCGCTGCCGAAATCGCCAGTCATCCATTTTTTCAAGTGAGTGTGTGGTTACCTTCATCTTACACATAGATATGAAGTATCTAGATAATTACATGATTTATGTGCTTATTATCTGTGCCAAAAATGTTATGTGTTAGATAAAATAATATGAGATGACATTTAAATTGATTTAATCATACAAGTATTATACACTTATAAACATGTATTGGGTAGTGAAAAGGATGGTAGATAGGAGATGATGGATAGGTAATGATAAATAGGTGATTATAATGTCCCATTTTCACAATTAAAATTTTCATTTTTATTAAGGTAAAACTCCACATTATAAAACCCGTGTTAGGAAAAACCATTTGTTCCAAATTACATTTGTTAAAGTCAATGTAATAGGACAACACAGAATCTTCATTATTGCTGATGAATGTGTATAGTCACACCGTCACCTTTCCATGATAATCGATGATACTTGAAAACAATAACAGCTAAGTAAGCAAAAAGCTTAGTGGGTTTCCCTAAAATACCACACACAACATAGTATAAACAAGCATGCATATTGGGTCCTCAGTCATCGGACTGGAATACCCCCGACCCAATTAGTCATCAGACTGGAATGCCCTGGGTTTGTTGGCCTAATGCGTCAACCCAACCGCTCTCCCCAAGCCTATGTGCCTACGGCTTACAGCCGGGTAGCACCTGGTATCTTGGCCTACAGAAAAAAGCAGGACCGCCTCAACCTCATCCACCACCATATGTCGACATATAAACAATCAATGATCAAGTAGGCACATAATACATGAAATTATCAATCATACAACTCACTACTGCCTACTAAATCTCTCCCATCACACTGCTCTGCTACTAGGTAACCTCCATGGAAGGCATAACCATAAGTAACCAGAGGTGAGATAGCCACCTGAACAAATGGTCCTACTTTAAAGCCACAACCAAATAAGGAACAGGCAGGAAAGCCTAGACCAAAAGTTCTTAGGCTATCCTATGTGACTACATACAGTCCCTAGGGCACTCCACTAGATGATAATCAGCCTACTGTTACTCTAACCAACATACCACTACTGATGCATCCTATCACTCCAGGATATACATGAATCTAGCAGATCACTATAGCATAACAGCATCCTATACACAAGGACACATAACTAACTCTACAAGGAATGCATAACTATATGTAACCATAGGTGAGATAGACACCCGGACAAATGATCATACTATAGAGCCACAACCAAACAAGGAACATGTAGGAAAGCCTAGATCAAGAGTCCTCGGTCTATCCTACATGACTACATATAGTCCCTAGGGCATCCTTCTAATAAATGATAACCAAAACTAATGGGTCGGCATTGGTGCCTTCGACCCACAGGTACAGTGAGGAAAACTCACATGAAATGAAGAACCTCAAAACACTGAGACGCGCTTCCCATTCTGCACTGCTCGCTCCCATGAATCCACTAATCACCAAACAAGGTAAAATATTAATCAACAGTCCAAAACCCTCAAGTTTGACCCAAAGTCAAACGTGATCAAAAGTCAACGGTCAACGGAAGTCAAAGAAAGTTAAAGTCCAAGGCAGGCTGAGTACGCCCAGCGTACTCCATCCTTACGCTCATTGTACAGAACTCAGACTCAGTATGGTTGCGTACTCCTTAGGTACGCCCGACGTACTTACATCTAAAACAAGTCCTTTATTTAGTGCTTATTCCCTTAAGACCTTTCACCGAACACTCAAATCTAATCCTAAATGACATCCTAAATCATAAAGTTTCCAACTTTATGGCTTTGCATGGCTACAAAGGGTCCAAATCCAAAATCCTAACTTATCATAAGATTCTAAGCTTAATAACTCATGCATGAATGGAAGGAAAATATCAAAAATGCATTTTTATGACTTAACACCCTAAAATGCACCTTACAAGATCTGGAACAACTCACACTCAAATGGACCAATTTATGGGACAAAAGGACATAACTTTAACATCTAAGCTAGATATATAAATGGAGGCATAAAGTTACAAACTTTATACCTTTTGGAGATGAATGAGGGAGGAGAACTTCTGGATCCAAAGTTGGTTCAAGCTTCCAAGCACCACCACCACCTTATTCTTCCTTCAAAGGCACCCAAAAATACACTTTTTAGCTCACAAGGCACAAACTAAGATTAAGGTTTCAAGGGATGATGTTGGAGAGATGGAGGCTGAGAATGGAAGAGGTTTAGAGGAGTTAAGGTGTTTAAATAGGGCTCAAAACCCCGAATTTAGGGTTTGGGTTCTAGTCGCGTACGTCAAGCGTACCAAATGGTACGCTCATCGTACTCCTTTAAAGGCGTGACTCTGGCAGCCAGTAAGCCCAACGTACTGTTGGATATAGTGTCTAAGTCCATAACCCGACCCGGTATGGTCCATTTGGGTTGCACTTCACCCGAACAATTTATGGATAATCGTTTGAGAATAGTATAA